ATGGATGGATAAATAAATACATACAAGGAAGGAGGGAGGGAGAGAGAAAAAAAAGGAGAGGAAGGAAGGACACAAACCCTGGCTTCAGAAGACTCTTTGAAACAGCACAGCAATCTAGGGCTGGAAGGGATCTTGGAAGTAATCTTCTAGTCAAACTTGGCAAGTTTAAGACTTATGGACTTCAACTCCAAGAATTCCTGAGCTAATATGACTGGAGGAGGAATTCTGGGAGTTGAAGTCCACAAGTCTTAAAGCTGTCAAGTTTGAAGACCCTTGTTCTAGTCCAACCCCCTGCTCAGGCAGGAAAACTCTGAGGATGCCAAAATCTGACTAGAGGTCCTGGGAAAGGTGTCAGAATAACATTAGAAGGGGAGGAACTCTATTCCTTGGGGAGGAACTCTATACCATTTCAGAGAAATGGCTGTCCAGTCTTTTCTTAAAAACCTCCAGTGTTGGAGCACCCAGAACTTCTGGTGGCAAGCAGTTCCACTTGTTAATCGTTCTCATTGTCAGGAAGTTTCTCCTTACTTTTAGGTTGCTTCTCTCTCTGTTCAGTTTCCATCCTTCTGGTGCTTTGGAAAATACACTGTTTGCCTTCTGGTGCTTTGGAAAATATATTTGCCCCTCTTCTTTCTGGCAGCTTCCTAAAAGCCTGTTGCCTATTACCCTCTTGGGCAAAGCATGTGAGCCATTTTCTCCTTTCAATGGTCCATGAAAGTACATTTATAGTACGTAGATAATAAAGTCAAAAAAAGGTGAACAACATTTTTACAGAACTATAGATACGTTGTAGCTGGGTGTGACAAGGAATGGCTGGGAGGGGAGGGGCCAGGTGAGGCACCCCTTGATGTGAGTGACATTGAGTTGGCCACACCCACCCAGTCACATGACCACCAAGCCACGCCCACCTAGCCACACACACCCGTCACATGGTCACCAAGCCACACCCACCCAGTCACGTGACCCTAAGCCACGCCCACCAAATAAGCCATGTCCACAGAACCGGTAGTAAAAAAAAATGAATTCCACCACTGAATCAAACCCTTGTACATATAAAGGTTGGTACACCCACTGCTTGTTTAGCTATTACATTCTGTTCCAGTGACTTGGTCATTAAGCATAATGGTTGCTAAATGAACACATTGACTAAGGGAGAGATGCAGAAAAGATCACTGATTGCTGCCATCTCATTCAGATAAAATTATCTCCTAAATGTCTTGTGCCTGATCTGTTACCCCCTCGCTTTTTCTTTTTGCAGGGAGTGATTACTTCAAAAAACTGTATCTTCCTAAGCTGCTTTTTCTCCACAGAGCAAGCAGCACTTCCCAAAATATGTAATTGCAAGTTAAGTTCAACTGCAGCCTTTATTAGTTGATTAAGCAGCTGTCAGCTGCTCTATTACGAGAAACTGGTCACACGTTAATCAGTATCACATGGATGCTTTTGTTGTCAAGCATATAAAATTTGGTCATAAATTCATGCATTGATCAGAAAGTGTTTTTTAATTATTGTACATTACTGTTGTATTTGTGAATAGCCAAGCAGTGACTGTATCACTGAATTTTGTTCAAATTATTAATTTAAGAACTGAAAGAAGGGTAAAAATTATTACTTACACCTTCCAGCACATCCTGTTCATTTACAACTCTGAAAAATAATTTTTTTAAGCTTTCAGTAATTTCTAGATAAAGTGAACATTTAGTTAGGGAATTTATATTCTACTTTTCTGATAGCACAATTTTCTAATTGTCTTACAATAAGATAGAGAATACAAATTAAAATTAATTCAATTAAAATCAAAATTAAAAGTAGCCATTTAGAAAACTAATGGATTTATAGGGACTGTTTCCTATTATGATTTGATTGCTTATTGTACCTTATGACTATCATTAAGTGTTGTACCTTACGATTCTTGACTCTTGATGAATGTATCTTTTCTTTTATGTACACTGAGAGCATTTGCACCAAGACAAATTCCTTGTGTGTCCAACCACACTTGGCCAATAATCTATTCTATTCTATTCTATTCTATTCTATTCTATTCTATTCTATTCTATTCTATTCTATTCTAATGGCTAAAAGCTTAGAAAAATGTACTATTTTTATCATCTTCCTAAATGTTTGGAAAGTGGGAATCAAATGAAATTCCTTAGGGAGCACATTTCATAATCTGGAATGTGGAAACCAAATGGGAGAAGGCCATCTTCCAAGGTCTCCTACTATAAATGTGGGCATCCTCAGAAGGATCTCAGAGGGACAAGTCACCAGATTTATTAGGCATAGAGGGAGAGTTGTCCTGCAGACAATCAGAATCAAAAATATTAAAAGCCTGATTGTCAACACCAGCATCTTAGATTGCAGGCAGCAGGACAACCAGTAACCCAGCAGATCTTTTAGTACAATATAAACCCTGTGTTGTATAGCAATCAGCGGCTGGGTTCTTGAATTTTTTACCTATTGAAATTTATGGACACATTTCAAAGCTAGATCTATTTCATGTGAATTAAACAATAGACCAGTTACAACCAAAATACGGTTGTGACTAAACAGTCACTAAGTTCAGTAAAAATGTAAATGTAAACTTAAAAACAGCCAAAAACCAATAACTAAATCTGGACAGTGGCAGCTAGGAGTTAAAAAGAATGTGTCAGGGTCATGGGTTTTTTCAGCTTGTGAATCTTAAGGATGTGGACATATATGTGAAGAGAGAAGGGCTGCCACTTGTTTGCTGACTCTTGTTTTTTATGTCTATTTAAATTGTTAGATTCTACACCTTGACTGAAGTCATTTGCCTCAATAAATCAATGAACAAGCATAATGTTATTAACTCATTTGTTTAATTTGATTCCCTTTATATAATTTCTGTTGAGAACAGGTCACATTTTAGGTCATATTTATGCAGAAAAATTTAAAATTCAAAAAAGTTTACAAACTTTTAAGTACCACTATAATCACATACCAATTCCTTTCTGATGAATCAGAGCCCAATAAAACCTGCCCATATAGTTTTCTCCATCTCTGTCCCATCAGTTCTAAAAAGAATTCTGTGTCTGATGAAAGTTTTCATTTATTTCAGATAATTTTGGATTAGAATTTGAAGAAATTCTTTGAAATCTAAAATGCTTTGAAGAATTCCTTGAAATAAAGTGGTATTTTCTAAAGTAATTAAAATATAATAGTGCTGTTCAAGGAATATAATGTCTTGATACTTTCCTCTGAGATTCCAGGAAAGAGATAACAAAGTACTGTATAATTTTTTTTATTAGCGGGTCTATCTTCTAACGTTTCTATGATTTAAATAAATCACAATGCTTTAGTGACAGACATTGGCATTTGGCCAGGGGAGTTAGCAGAGGTGGTATTCAACCAGCTCACACCGGTTTGGGCGAACTGGTAGCGGTGATTTGGCATGGGTCACCGAACCGGTGGCAACCCCTGGCTGGCCACGCCCCTGACCCAGTCGCCCATTCGCTCACTTGTCCCGGTCGCTCTCCTAGCTTTCCCTACCAAATGGCGGCCGTGGTGCAGCTCGGGCGGATGTCCCAGGGTTGCTGCACATGTGCAGCACTATACATGTATACATGCATGTTCAGCCACTATACATGCAGTGCACATGTGCAGCAGCCCTGGGACATCTACCCACCTGGAGCACGTTTTCTTCCTTCTCCCAGCAGGTGGGTGGGTGGATATTCCAGGACTCCTCGCTCCCCTTGTTGCGAGATGCCTGCAGCTGCTGCGTGTTTTTTTCAGTGCGGCTGCAGTCCAGCAGCCGCACCGAAAAAAGCACACCTTGTTCTATGTGTGGGGCCCGGCAACTCTGAGCAGCCGGCACATAAACATGGTGGCGCCGGACCGTTGGAGAAGTGAAGTGAAGCCGGAGATCAGTAGCAGCCTCTTTTGCAGCACAAATTCAGCCAGGTGGTCTTCTCTTTCTCCGCCTGCTTGTTTTGTATGGCTGAGGAGGAGGAGATCAGCTGGCCAAAGGGGCAGCTACTGGAGGTGACTATTTTTTGGTCTCCAGTTGCCTTTTCAGCACAGAAATCCTCCCCAAATCAGCCAGCTGGTCTCCTTCTCCTTGGCCATACAGAACAAATAGGCAGAGAAGGAGATGACCAGCCTTCCAATTTGGGGAGGATTTCTGTGCTGAAAAGGCAACTGGAGACCCAAAAACAGTCTCCTCCAGCAGCCGCCCCTTTGGCCAGCTGATCTCTTCCTCCTCGGCCATACAAATCAAACAGGCGGAGAAAGAGAAGACTAGCTGGCCAATTCGGGGAGGATTTCTGTGCTGAAAAGGCAACTGGAGACCGAAAAAGGGTCGCCTCCAGCAGCCACCCCTTTGGCCAGCTGATCTTCTCCTCAGACATAGAAAACAAACAAGCGGAGAAAGAGAAGACTAGCCGGCTGATTCGGGGAGGATTTCTGTGCTGAAAAGGCAACAGGAGACCGAAAAAGAATCGTCTCCAACAGCTGCCCCTTTGGCCAGCTGATTTCCTCCCCCTCAGCCATACAAAACAAACAGGCAGAGAAAGAGAAGACTAGCCGGTCAATTCAGGGAGGATTTCTGTGCTGTGAAAGAGGTGGCTACTGATCTCCGGCTTTGCTCCGCTTCTCCAATGGTCCGGGGCAGCCCTGTTCTATGCGCCGGCTGCTTGGACTTGCCGGGCCCGGCAAATAGAACAGGGTTTGCTTTTTTCGGTGCGGCTGCTGGATTGCAGCCGTACCAAAAAAAGCACGCAGCAACTGCAGACATCTCGCAACAAGGGGAGCAAGAATCCCCGGGACATGTGGCCAAGCCACGCTGGAAGAGGTGTGTCTGCCAGGAGAAGAAAGCGTGTTCCGGTTGACTTTAAGAGCGCCCCCATGGAAGAAGAATGCCCCCAAGAAACAAGAGCAAACGTAGTGGTTGGGGGGGGTGATGGGCATGTGTGTCTCTCCACAAGGAGTGTGAAGGGAGGCAGACACCGCGTCTCTGAGGAAAAGAGGTGCTGAAGCCCTGGCTGTCACCCAGGAGGGGACTCACACGCCCCGTCACCCCCGCCGCCGCTACTTTTGCTCTCACTCTTGGTTTCTTCCATGGGGGTGCTTTTAAAGTTGATTGCCGCCAACTCATCATTGGGAGAGGTGTAGCCCCTGAATTCATGAGAAGTCTTGGGCAAAGTTCTCTGACTTTTAAAACGCTCCTTGTGCACACCAGGAGCACCTAATTGGAGCGAGATAGAGCAAAGTTGACTGCTTGGGGAAGTCACTCAGTTGCCCTGAGCCGGTGCGGTTCTTTACTTGGGCAGACAGACGGCCGCAGCAGTGCCCGCAGCAGCAACAGGTAGTGCTGCAACAATGAGGTACAGTAAGATTTGGCAATGCAAATTTATCTCCAAGGGGTTTCTGGCAAAAAACAAAACAAAAATCACTCCAAAACAAAACCCATTTGGCAGGCAGACTCGGCAGGCAGTCACAATCTTTAGTTAGGCTTTTTTTTTGTCAGCCCAAGGGCGGAAAAGTGGGGGAAGGTATGTAGGAAATCACCCTGTCTCTGTAGCATTGGTCATGTGACTGAGTGGGCATAGCCAACTCAAGGTCACTGGCAGCAAGGTGCCACTCCACCTTGCTGAGTTGGCCACGGCCACCCAGTCACATGACCACCAAGCCACACCCACCAAACAAGCCACGCCCACAGAACCGGTAGTAAAAAAAATTGAATCCTACCACTGGGAGTTAGTGTAAATTGAGCAGAAAGCAATGATATTCACAACAAACATACATTCAATATAACATATTTTATAATTATAAATATTATATATGTATGTATATGCATAAAATATTTATATATAAAATATATAATATTGAGACAGAAAGACAGATATAATTATTCACTTTAACTTCCTTACTTTTGCACATTATTTTGTGAAATTTTGCAGGTTTCTTTTCTAGGAGCCTCTTAATTATTTGTGCCATGTCATATAAATTACCCCAAAATACACAAGATAAAATGAAACTTTCCCTTTCCCATTTTCATCATTATGTTGGATTTACCTGTGTAACTTGTTCGTTTGTCTTTCAAATACTTTCATTATTTCTATCATGCGATTGTTCATCATCTCAATTGTTTCTGAACAATTATAAAAAATAATTATTAGATGATATCTAACATTTTTATCTAGAAATAGACATAGAAGTCAAACAATTGCAAAAGTTTGGTCAAAAATGTTGCTGCTGCTACTATCACTCTACGATGACATTATTATTATTGCCAAGTTCCATAACACAAACTAGAGGTAATCCAGTGCCAAGTCAATTAACAAAGGGTCACAACTGTCATAGCAAATATTAGACCAAAGTTTCAATTGCTAAGCGTTTAGTCATAAAACAGAATGTCATGTGACAATATCACTTAGCAATCGCAATCCAGAAACAAGTATAATGGGATTTAAACACACGCTTCCTTGCAACTTCCTTCCAACTTTTAATGATCAGGGGGAAGTCATAGGCAGCTTTCAAGATCAGTAGGCAGGTAAGTGGCTGCTGCCAGGGGTGAGAGGGAGCAAGGAGCTGAGAGACTGGTTATGGAGCCATGTTCCAACCTCATGGCTTGGAATGGCTATGATAAAGAGGAAGGATATGCAGATGGTTGGGAAGGGCGTACAAAGGCCAAGGAAGGTTTACAAGAAATGGGTATGGCCAGCAAACCACAGTATGAGTATAGAGGGACTGAGAAGGATTATACAGCTGGGGGGAGACTTACCTGAACAAATTGTGATCTTTCTTGCCAGCTTCCCAATTGACTGCTTGTGGGAATCCAGCAAGGAAAGTCACAAATCATGATCAGGGCATTGCAACCATTGTAAGCATGGGGGCCACTTGTTGCAAAGAGCCCAGATCACAATCACAAGATCATGGGAGTGTTGGAATGGTCAGAACTTCAAGGACCAGTTCTAATGACCCTTTGTTCAACATCATGATAGCTTCAAAAGTTTGCTGAATGGGTAGTGGTTAATTATGGGCTACCTGTCATTAAAAAGCATACCTCATATAAAAAAATTCTATTTTTCACAGTTAAGTATTTATTAACATATTATTAATAGGATCTCCCTTCTTATCATCACCACATGTATCCTCATGCAGTTCATAATCTGTATACCACACAGCTTATACCAGACTCCAGCTCTTTTCCAATAGCCAAACTCCAGTTCTTTGTCATCTACCTATTACTGTTAAATCATTTCAAGTTTCTGGCTGACGTGGCAGGATACTAAATTTATGACGTGGATCACTCCTGAGCTAAGTATTTTCTCTCTGTGTCTGATTGACTAATTGGTGAACAAAAAAACCTTTTTTGTCTAAACTACTGGCCATTTATTTGATTTGTAATTTGCCAAAAAGGAGGAGGAGGAGGAGGAGGAGGAGGAGGAGGAGGAGGAGCGTCATCTACCTATTACTGTTAAATCATTTTA